CCTGAACTGGCCACTCGGAGCTGGCCTCTGTGAACCTGGCCTCTGATTATAACTCACCTTATCGATTCCCTAGCCTCGCTCTGATGCCCCTGCCCAACTCACCTGCGTGAGAAGACCCTTTCCCGCATGGGTGGCAGAGCTGGCCCCTGCTCCTCCATGTCCTAAGAGCTCCCCACCTGCCTTGTCCGCCTCCCAGCGAGGGAGGCTGGGGCCCAGGGCAGCTAGGGGCGGGCTCCAAGCCCGCGAGGGCGGTGGGCAGAGCTGGCGGAGGGATTGTGGTCCGCGGGTGGGCCAGGGCCGGGTGGACTCAGAGCGGCCCCTGGCGCTCCAGCCCGGGGCGCAGTGCGGTCCGCGGCCACAAGGCGGCACTACACCTTCCCTGGTCTCGTCCCGCCCTACCCGCTGCGGCCGCCCCGCAATGCTCAACGCAGCTGGACCCTGGGAGGATGCAGCCCATGCGCGAGACGGCAAGGTCACCAGAGGCTAGGCAGGGCCCAGCCGGGCAAGAGACATCTGGGACACAAAGAGCCAGGCTTGCGATCCCACGTCGCCATCCCGCGGGATGAGATCCAGGTCGGCTACGCCAGCTGAGTGGGGAGACGGGCAGCGAGGAGTCCGGGCGCCACGTCCTAAGTGCCCGAGGGATCCCGCACCCGGCGTCCTCTGAGTGGCCCTGCCCTGACCCATCTCGCGAGGATCTGGGTCCTCAGACGCTTTCCGGGACTTAGGACTGCCAATCGCAGTCCCCTCCCGCAGCCGTCCGCGGGGGGCGGGGGCGGAGTCGGTGTCCGGCAGCCTGCGCCTCACCTGCGTGGGGCTCCCTGCGGCCCCACGCGCAGCCGCGTCTGGTGGGTGAGGACCCGCCCTCGCCAGGAACCGCCAGTCCCAGGCCGTGACCCTGAGCAGACGACAGCTGGTCGCTGCTCCTCCGACTGCGCGGGGCAGTGGGTGCGGACGGCGGACGGCGGGCGGCCCCTGCGCCCCGCGCTGCCCTCGCGGCCTTTGCGCTCGGGGGCGCCGCGCCCCGCCCCGCCGCCCCTCCTGGCGCGCTGGCCCGAGCGGCCCGGCTGGCTTTGAATGCAAAGACCCGGCCTTTGTGCGCGCCCGCCCCACCCGGCCGTGCCCCCCACTCCCCGTCCCCGTCCCCAGCCTCCGCCGCCCCCCGCCCACCCTCATTAGCATAGCAGCTGCTCGCCGAGCGGAGACCCGCGCAGGAGAGGGCAGAGGCCTCGGGAATGAATGGGGCCGCGGCTTTGGAGCGGGCGAGAGAAGAAAGACCGACAGACGGACGCGCGGAGGGATGGTCGGAAAGACAGCCAAGCAGAAGAATGCGCCGCACGGGAGGCGGGGTGTGCGGGCGGTGGGGGAGGGCGGCCCCAGGGGACCCCCGAGCCCCAGGAGGGTCTCGCCGGAGGCCTCGGAAGGAGCAGTTGTGGAGGTTCCCAGACCTTGCACGGCCCCTCCTTTGGCCTGCGCCCTTACACTGCGGCCTCGGGCTTTGTTTACCAGCTGTGCCCAGCGCGAGGCCTCCTTTCCCGTTCTTCAAGACCCCCGGACGCCGCCTTCTCCCGGCAGGCTACGCCTGAGCACCAGTAGGCAGCTGGCCTTTCCAGGTCAGAGAGCGGCTGTCCCTCCTGTGCACACTCCCTCTGTATCTTCCCGTGCTGAGCCACAAGGCCTTTGGGGGACAGACTGCCCCAGCAGCCCCTTCCCTCTCTTCCTCTTCCTTGACTTCCAAATCCCGCCCTCCTTCCCTGGCCTGCTGTGTCCTGGCGCCAGCCTGCTGCCTTTGGTCTCCACTCTTTCTGTCTGCATTTCCATCAGTAAATCCTCCTGTGCAGCCAGGGTCAGATCAGAGAGATGGACAGTTGCATAGGAGCCACGCATCCTCCTGGAAAGGTTTGGCTATGACTGCCCAACCCTCTCCTGGGTCTTCTCAGTGCGTCCTGGCGGGTACTCTCACCTGGCTGCCTCAGGCACACCTGCAGCTCTGGGAGGCCAGGGCAGAGAAGGAGCTGGGTTACCTTTGCCTTCTTTTACACCTGGTCATGAGGGGTCGGCCCGGGGAGATGGAGGGGACATCCCAGAGACTTCATTGGCCAATACCTACCAACCTCACCAAGTGCCCATTGAGGGTTAGCAGTTTGCTGAGCACAGAGGCCCTGGAAGGACAGTCTGCACGGGCCACTGCACTTCAAGGAAATGGGCATTAGAGACACAACTGTGGCTTGGTCATGTCCAGGAAGCAGGGACTTCCTCCTGTCCACTCCACCCCACAAATAGCCTGTCTTCTCAGAGAGATGTGCTCTTGGCTACACTTGTTCATGCAGCCTCCCGGTCATTGCTCATTCTGGAAAGCACTGCCTATGGTTCCCCGCCAAGAGAAGATCATGGGCTGCGCTCTCTCAACCTGTCCTTGTCTCTGGACATCTGGAGCCTCCCAGCTGGGATTCCATCCACAGCTCTAACAACAGGGAGAAGGAAAATATTGGCTTTATTTTTATTTTGCTGTACTGGGGCTTAAATTCAGGGCCTACACCTTGAGCCACTCCACCAGCCCTATCTTTGTGAAGGGTTTTTTGAGATAGGCTGTCATGAACTATTTGCCTAGGCTGGCTTCGAACCTCCTGATCTCTGCCTCCTGAGTGGCTAGGATTATGGGCGCCACCAGTGTTGTCTGCCCAGAACAGCACCTGGGGAAAAAGACAGCAGGTCCCACCCGGACTCCACCCTTGAGCTCATCTCTTCCCCACTGTGTAGAAAGAACACTGTCTCCCCACTATATACCCTGGGGGTGAGGCAGTACAGCCTTAGTGAAATATAGAAGCAGTAACTTAGGGGACCTTTATGTCCTGGGATGGGTGGAAGAACTTCAAGGGTTCAAGTTCTTGTGGCACTCTTCTGTGCACAGCTGCCCCCAGCTGGCCCAGGGCAGGACTTCCTTATGGCCTGCCTGGGTAGAGGCTGTCAACACCCTTTCCTCTCTACAGTTCATCAGCATTGTAGTCCACTCACCTCTGAGGGAGTCTGAGGTCCAGGCTTTCATCGTGTGTCGGCAAGATGCCTGTTTAACCAACTGCAGATGTGCCTGTGGGATCCTTAAGGGTAGGAGGACCATGGTAGTAAGCAGGAGTGCAGAGCAGCAGTTGGGGAAGGGACTGGGGGATACAATTGCCCTTGGCTGCTTGGCAGGGGGTCTGAGCGCATCAGGGGAAAAGCCTTCACTTGTAAGAGTCAAACTTCTTCGCCCGTTCTGCATGGTCTGTTTGCTGGCTGCTATTGCCGTGGATGGATGTCTCAGGGGCCCTCCCCACATCCCCATTCAGGGCCCCAGGAGACACTGCTCCTTATATAAACTCTCTCCTCACACATCTGGGGACACTGGGTCCCAAGCTTGCTCCCTTGGGGCTGAGGTGTCTAGTGTTTGGGGAGTGGCTGGCCCGGGGCCTGTGGAGGCTTCTACAGCAGCCAGACACCTCCAGGGACCTCTTGCATGTTAGTTCTGTGCAGCCAGCCAGGAGGGACGAGGGGCCTGGTGTCTTCAGGTCCTCAGTTCTCAGGCTGGGTGAGGAGTGGGAAGAACACCAAGCAGAGCTTTCCAAGGAACTGGGAGCAGCTGTGACACCAGCTCAGGGGCTCTCAAGGTGGCCTGAGAGCTTCCCGTGCCTGGCAAAGGGCTGGCCCCTGGGTTCTCACAAATCCTGGATTTGGCGGTTGAGCAGACAGGGTGCCCATTTACTAGGCTCTGTCTTTAGGTGAACAAGAGCCAAGCATTGTTCAGACATCACCAGTAAAGGGCATACTGTGTGGCTTGACTCTCACCTCTGAAGTGTCTGTGACTTCTGCCAAGACCAAGAACCAGCAGGCTTTTTTTTTTTTTAATATAAAAAGATCAATGAAAAATTTATTCATAAATTTTTCATGTTGGGCTACAACTCTATATCGTACGCTCAAGAGTGTGCTGCAGACTTCATCCAGATGGAAGTGATCAAACCCGGACCCATACACAGCTTCAACATAAGCCTAGGAAGTCTTAACATTAATTAACATAATTAAAAAGGCATTTGCATGTAGAAAAAATATACAGAACTCCTTTTGGAGTAATCTGTGCTTGGTTCAATGTCTGCTAGTTTCTCTGACATTATCACTATTCTTCTCACACGGTTTCATAAAAGACCGCAGAAGACAGCCGAATACGAGCAGCCGGCACAAAGGGCCTCCACCCACCTGTGTCCTCAAGTGCTCCCCATTTTTGCACGCAGGGTCAGCAGCACTTCTATGAAGGGGAAACCTCATTTAAATTTGAATAATTCAGCCTCCCTTTTATTTCCCAGGATCAAAACAACAAGGAGTGTGGGGTTGCATAGAAAATTGGAACCACAGAAACCAGGAAGGGCTCCTTTCAGGCCGGCAAGGGTCGCTCCAGCGCCTCCTCCGGCCCAGGTCCTGGGCGCAGCCCCGCCCCCGCGGCAGGATCCTCGGATCCCAATCGGGTCCTCAAGCCCGGGAGACGGAGGAAGGGCGCAGCGGCCCTTCCACTCATTCAGCGATAGCACGAGAGATTCACAGTCTTATAGGCATTTTATAAAAATATAAATATGGGTACACAACAGCCTTCACAACGCTGGATACAACGCCCTTTAAAATTGGGTTTATAACCAAGATTAAAAAAATACACCTAAAACTTGGCTTAAAATATGTTAATATTTTATATTCTGTCATAAATGTTATGACATTTAATCGTGGCAAATCCATTTGCTTTTTTAAAAACGTGTGCAACCGACTGTTAACTATACTAGAACTCACTGGGAAGGGTAGCGCCCTCACCCCTCGTCCCAGCCCCGCGAGCATAGCGAGCTTTCAGGTCCCCGCGGGAACTTTGCAAAACCAGCCGGGTGGAGTGGGGCGGGGGGGGGTGGCCTCTCGCAGGAGGGGGAGGGAGGCCCTGGGGCTCCCAAAACTCACAGGGAATCGAGAGACGGGAGGGGAGGAGGGGAAGAAGGGGAAGAGGAGAGTGGGCGAAGGACGGAGTGTGTGGGGGGGGGAGTAGCAATGGCAAAACCGTCGGGCTAGGCGGCATTTTCAGTGCAACCAAGAAATGGTAGACTCAAGTTTTTAAATTTTAAGACTAGAAAAAATGTATCTTCCCCCATAACCACGCACAATATTTTCCAAACAACAACAAAAAGAACTCAGGCGCACAAACTTCACCCACAAATATACACACACGAGATAAATAGTTTAGGACACCAGGCACGGCGAACGTCTCCCTTCTCGCGCGCGGGCGCGCAGGCTGGACGGGGCATCGTGGGAGCTGCTCCGCGGCCACCAGCGCCCGGCGCGGCCCTTCGGGTTCCCGCGGGCGGCGGCGGGTGCCTGGGTTCGCCGCATCGCCGCCGCGCGCCTTTCACCTTCGGGAGAAAGCATTTGGAGCAGAGGATCCGGTATCTCGGGATTCCGAACTTGCTGGAGGCGAGACTCAAATTTCAAAAGGGATTGGAGCTCGCGCCCCGCCCCCACCCGCGAGGCGGCGGGAGGGCTGGGGCCGTGGGAAGGCGCTGGGGCCCTGCCCGACTGCCCGGGACGGCCGCGGGGAGGCGCTGGCCGGCGCAGCGGCGGGGCCCTGGGGCTGCGGACGCTCGCGGCCGTCCTCGTAGTAGCCGCGGGCACTTAGCGCGGGCCGGCGACCCTGGCGCACACCGAGGTAGTTGGCGGGAAGGTACAGCAGAGACTACGTGGGCTGGGGTCCAGGGTCCGGCGGGCATCACCGGCTGCTGGCCGCGTACTTGGCCTTGGTGATGAGATACAGCACGATGTCCTGGTGGCCGCCGAACGCGGCGATGTGCAGCGCGCTCCAGCCGTCGCGATTGGCCAGGCGGATGTCAGCGCCGAACTTGACCAGCAGCTTCACCAGCTCCAGGTTGCCGTCAATGACCGACTGGTGCAGCGCTGTTTGGCCCTCGGGCCCGAACGAGTTCACGTTGAACTCGCAGTTGGTCATGTTCTGCAGCAGCGACTGTAGCTCCTGCGTGTTGCCTTTGCGCACGGCCTCCTGGAAGATGCGCTGCGTCTGCGGCGCCGAGCAGGTGGACAGCTCGGCCTGGCTCATGCTGCCACCGGGCTCCTGTCGCGGGCTGGGCCCGGGCTCAGCGCGGGCGGCGGCTGCGGCGCGGGTCCCCGGTTGCCTCGGGGCGTGTCTTGGGGCGCGCCTCGGCGCATGGAGGGCGCTGCGCCCCCGGTCCCCTCACGCCGCCCCTGCGCGCTCCGGGCGCTCGGGGCCGGGGGCCGCCGCCAAGGGGCCCCTGCCGCATCCAGCCGCGCCCGGGCGGGCGGGCGGGCGACGGGGCCGGGCGCAGCCGGGGCCGACGATGCGCACGGTCTCGGCCCTTGCAGGGCTCGGTTGCGTTCCCACGCGGTCCCCACGAGCGTCCCCCCGCGTCTAGATTCTTGCTCGCCCGCCGCGCCCGGGCGCCTTTTACAGCCCTTATATTTGCATAACAATGGGCGCTCGTGACGCGCGCGCCGGCGGGCTGGCGATTGGGCCGCGCCCATGTGGGGGCGGGGCGTGGGCGGTACCGGCGGCGTCTCGGGGGCGTGTCCGGGCGACGGCGCGCTCCGGAGGAGGGGGGTGGGTGGTTGGTTGTCCGCAGTGCCGGGCGGGGATGCCAGGTGGCCCTATGGGTGTCCTAGCTCCGCCGCTGTTGCCGCTTGGGTTTGCGTGCTGCGGCCTTCCACCTACCTGAGCCATCGTCCGGACTACTGTTCCTCCGGCCATCCGGGGAATTCTGAGCTCCCTGAGCAGCCAGTCCTAGGCTTGGTCTCCTCGGGGCTCACTCTTGAGGCTGGTGACAACTCCATGAACAGCTCTCGCGCGTGGCCCTCCCCCACGAAGGAAGGAAGCCGCGCAAGGGCGGCTTCCCTAGCGGCCTGCTCAGCCTGTGTTTTGCCCCACCAATCGCCCCAGTGACGGGGTCCCACTCTCTTCTCCAGATGAAGCTGGGGCGAGCTCGCGGGGGGTGGGGGATGGAGTGGACGGAAAGCCCACTGGGACCTCTGGGCTGGCCTTCTGTGCTGCCCAGCATTAACGCGCATGAATAGGGGCACACAGGTCTGGCACCCAACACTGCTCTGAAAGGGAATTCTGAAGTGACTCATTTCCAAACTGTAAAACCCCCTTTTTATTGACCATTCTAACAACTGAGCAGGAGGTGCTAGCTGGGGAGGCATAGCCACATTTCCTCATTACATTTTTGCAGTTTACAGCTCAGCTGCGGTTACTGGAAATTAAGGAGGAATGATCTTCAGATCAGGAGGCCAGGGCACGCCAGGGCTTGATTCCTTCTGAAGCCCGACTGGGAATTCCGAGCAGGCAGCTCTGGGCCTCTGCTGGGGAGACCACCCTGCCAGGCCCAGTCTGGGGCTGCTCCTGCTGCAAGAAGCAGAGCTCCCATAGGTGTCTGCTCCAAGTCCCTCACATGCACTATCCACGTAGGCATGCCCCTGTCCTGCTCTGTGCTCTGGAAGGGATCACAGCTGAACTGGTAGGAGAAACTGGGCAAGCCCCCTCAGGGACTGATCATCTCTAATTAGCTACCCTCAGGCCTGACCCTGGCTGACTTGATCAGGGCCACGCTCCTCCTGGGTCCTCCTAGTGGCCTGGGAACCTGATTCCTACTAGCATGTAACTTGGAACCTGGAACTGCTCTGATCTTAAGGTCCACGGTCCAGCTGCCTCCCTATTTACCACCCTCCACTTTACTGCTTATCCCAAGAACTCTTGGTGGGGGGCACTGAAGATTCTCCCACTGTGCAGGTGGGAATGTTGAGGCACAGTGGGGGACACTGTGGTCAGCACCTTTGGCCCCCCAAGATTGGGAACCAGCCTGATGATGGCTACTCTCACCATGCCCAGGGCTGTCCCTGGAACTTGAGTGGGATAGGCCTCTACCCAGGTGGGCTCCAGCCTGCCTGGGGAAGGGTATCTTGAGATTCTCAGCTGAAGCAGAGTCTGGGAGAAAAGTCCCGTTGACATCCGCAGCAGGCAGCAGACAAAGGGGCCTGTGTGAACTCAGTGTGGGAACTCGAGGCTGCCGCCACTGGGGCCGTGAAATTGGTGGCGGCTCTGGTGAGGGCCGGGCGGCTCAGCCAGCTCTGTGTGGGATGGCATGGCTGGTATGGCAGCCCTGTCCTGGAGGGAGCCTATACTGAGGTTACTGCCCTGGGTCAGGAGTGAGGGTCAGACACAGCTGGGACTTGGCCCCATCCCCTGACTCCCATGTGGGGCTCAGGTGGTGGTCACAGTATCTGAGGAAGCTCTCCGTGGGGACACCAGGCTGGCCCTTGCTCCTCCACCAGGGGTGATTTTACTCTGAGTTGCCCTGGCTCACACTAGACATCATCCTCCGTGAAGCAGTCCCATTTGAGAATGGGGTGGAGGAGGGATATTGGGACACTGGTTCCTAGTAAGCACCGCTCAGGTGTTTGCTGAAGGGTGCATCCAAATGGTGGACATTTGTTCTACGTGCTGTTGGAGAGAAGGAGGGGAGGGGACACACTTTGAACCAGGCAGGCTCAGACAGGACCCAGTGTTACCTTCCTGTGTTTGTGACCCTTGCCTAGGATCTGGGGAGACCCCACCCTGACTATGAGACTGGACCCTGTCTTTCATCTCCTGCTTGATCCTGAGGATGCTGACCCTTCCCACCACCTGCCCACACCAGAAGGCAACAATGGGCCCTCTTCTCCCTCTAGGCACCCCTTTCTTTTCCTTCCCCAGGGCAGGGGCTCAGCAGCAGGAAGCCAGGAGCAGTGCTAGTGAAGGGGCAATGTGGGGGGCATTCTGGGACCTGGACTGGGGACATCTAGGCTGGGCAGCCCAGGCAGTCTGGGAGGGCCTGAGGGACAACAGCACAGAAGGGGCAGCTGGCCAGAACTGGGCTGAGGCCTGCGGCCACCTTAAAGGCTCTGAGCAAGGGGAGGGAGGCCAGCGGGCAGTGGGGGCGGGGCTTGTAGCTAATTCATTAAAATGTGTCGGGGAGCGTGGGAAAGAGGAGAGTGTTTCTTCCCAGCGGCCCAGACACCTGGTAGAAGGGCTGAGCGAGGATAGGAATCAAATAACAAACACTCAGCTCCAGCCAGCACCGGCCAGAGCAGAGGAAGGACGCCTGGGCAGGAACTACAGCAGACAATCACTGTGACCAGGCTCCTGCCCGCCCGGGCTGGCTGCTCGGCACCAGGGCCATAGCTGCCCTGTCAGCCTGGTGACTGTCCTCAGTCTGGGAGGTTGGCTGACTGCCCCTGGAGCTAAGGAAGGTGCATTGGAGCTGACCCTCCCCCCGCCCCTCATGGCCTGGGTTTGCTTCCAGTGCCTGGATCCATACAGGGCAGAGAACCTCAGCCCCACAGGGAGGCTAGGATAAAAGTGCCTCACAGCTGGGGTGAACCCTGTGTTGGGCAGCAGAGAGGAACTGAGTGTGGGAAACACACTGAACAGTAAGCATGGCCATGACTGAGGGCAGGCTGAGGGGCAGGGCATGGCCTGATTTGACCAGGAGGGATGGCATGGGCTTCTTCTCCCAGAAGCCTGTCACTGGCAAGCCTCTCACGGGCTCCACTGCTGTCCATCCTGGGTGGCTGCAGCCCTCAACTTCAGTCAGTAGCAGAGGCCCAGGATGCACCTGGGCAGGGCAGCAATCCAATACCTTTGGCTGCTTTCTCTTAATACCCAAGCATGTAGGAGTGTGGTCAGGGGCTACATCGTCAGACAGGACATGGAGCTGGGGACCCACTCCCAGAAGTAACCCAGCTTTGCTCCCCGTGATGCCCACCCCTTCCTGACCCTCAGCTCAGGTCCTACAGCTGCCCAGCAAGCCGAGGTGGAAGGTTGGGATCGGAGCTGTCTCTGAAGGGATCCTGGCTCTTCCAGGCAGGGCCCTGCCCATTTGTGAGCTCTGCTCCCCCCATTTGTGAAAGGGCACCCTGGTCAAATTGCTGGGTGCTGAATGGCTGGGCTGCAGCCACCAGAGCATGGGAAGTCCCAACTGGGCCAACTGTACAGGGATGATGTACAGAGGTGCGCCTGGCACTGCTGAAGGCCTCTGCTCCTGTGCTTGGGTTCTCCACACCCGGGAGCCTGTAGGTGCTCCTTGCACTGGGCAGAGGTGGCTGCCCCTCTCTGGTCCCTAGACCCCTGTGGCTTAGAGGCATCCGCTGTGGCTCCTCAGCCAAATCTGAGCTGGTTTCCGTTCCAGGCAGGAAGTAGAGGAAAGGGATGTGGGGGGGGCAAATTCCTGGGGGGTGAGCAAGGAAGAGGCAGGCCACTGCAAGACCAAGCCAGGGCCCAGGCTGGCTGCTCACAGAAGTCCCCACCCTGGGCCTTCCCCTTCACTCCCCTCCTCCACCTATGATCCCCTACAGCTGGGATCCCTGCTCTCCCCGGTAACAGTACCCTCAGATCCTCTGGGGTGGTTAACAGTGGCCGCTGGGGCTCCAGCTTCCTCCCAGAGCAGAGGCAGCAGTAGCTACTTTCAGGCAGTTATGACCGGGGGGGGGGGGGGGGGGGCCAAGGCCACCTGTAAGAGTCCTGTAAGGGCAGCATGCATGGCCCAGTGCCTCCAATTCAGCTCCACTGGGATGCAGTAGCTGCCCTTCTTTGGTGTCTCTGGCAGCTGGCAGGCATGTGGAGGGACAAGTGTTAAGCAAACGAACAAGGCTACACCGTTGACTATTTTTCACATTTATTGTCCAGCTGCCCATGGCTGCCAAGTCCTCAGAAGGAGCTGCTGGCTGGGATGGGAGGCAACTTGGCTCTCAGGGGCTGGGGGCACCCTCCAAGACCTCTCGGAAGTGCTCAATGACACGGCCCAGGTGGGATCCCTCCCAGAAGACCTTGCCACAGCCTGTGCAGCAGTAGAAGTGCCGCACCCAGGGTTTCCTCAGCACGCCTGCTGGGACCCCCGCCAGCTGCAGTTGTGTACCATTGGCCAGTGTGACTGGGGTGCCAGCCTGCAGATCTGCTGCCTCCAGCCAGCGACAGGGGAGGTTATAAGTGCAGTTCCCAGCTGCCTCTGCCGCTGGGTCTGGGGAGGATAAAGCAATACTGTAATCCCTCAGCTCCTACCATGCCTCTGGGCTCAAGGCTGGCTAGGCCACCAGCCCTGTGTCCAGCACCACCTCCTCTTGCTTCCTGTCCACCCTGACCCCATACCTCCTATCTATTCCAGGGACCCCCCCCCCAGCCCTCTCTATTCTGTCTCCTCTAGCCATGGCCCCTCATGGTACACTAGACACAGAGGTCATCCCATCAGAGCGTCCGGCCATCCCCTCTGCAAGGCCAAGACTCCTTTCTTTGGCAGGTCAAGGTGCAAGGGCCCTGTAAAGAAGCAGCTGTGCCCTCAGTGGGTGGTCCTGGTGCTCACCTGGCTCCCTCTTCTCCTCGCTCTGGGTGGCCTCATCATCTGTCAATCAAGGATGTCAGGGTGTGATGGGATTGTCCTAAGGATGGGGTGTGGAGCCACCAGAGCCCACAATGCCACAATGAACCAGGTTGCTGTCACCTCTTATTGCCTGGCCTTCACCTCCCAGCAGAGAGGAGCAAAGGGCAGGGGCCAGAGAAGCTTTGGTGCTGCTGGGCTCCCTCCCTGGGGAACTCACACTTCGGGACGTTCTTGGGGCTCAAAGGTCCCTGGGAAACAAGTTCTGGGCGCGAGATCTGCCGATTAGGGACCTGGGGGCCTGGGAACCAGCGGGCGGGGGCGGGGCGGGCCTTTGGTGGTGATGAGCAGATAAGCCCACTGCCAAGGAGCCTGTTTCGAAATCAGCCAGCACCAGGGCGGGCAGGCAGGGCCCAGGGGGCCTCAAGAGACCTTGGGGGTGGCTCCTGCTTGCCCTGCAACAGGCCCCAGCTTTCACGGTGAACAGAGGGCAGAAGGGCCAGGCTGTCCAGACTTAAGGCTCCACTGTAGGGCTGAGGGCAGTGACAGCTGAGGGAACTCTGGCCAGCAGGTGAGGGGGCATCCTTCCCATTCCTGTGAGCCCTCATAATGTGCAAAGTTTCTCTGCAGATGGTCCCAGATTAACCCAGACAGGACAAGGGTGGATGCAGGGTACACAGCCTCCCTTGGACCCGCTGGCTCCTCCTTGGTGTCTAGGAAGTCTTGACCTCCACCTGCTCTTCCGGCCTCGCCCCAAGCCCCTGCTCTTACCCTGCAGCCCTCTGTGACCCCAGCTAATGTGTGTGCTGCCCACTCTGCTCCACATGTGGATTGCTGAGAGCTGCCCAAAATGGACTGAGGTTGCCACAAGGCCACCACCACATGGCTGGTTGGCTCTCTGCCCCAAACCCCTGTGAGAAGCAGCCAGCCAAGGACAAAGACAGACTGTTGGGGGCATGAGAGGCACTGGCTATGCAGAATGACCTGCCACCACTCCTCAGCTAGCTACCTTTACATTTGTGAAGGCGTGGGCAGAAGCTGACATGAGGGGCAGGCCCAGCCTCACCTTCCTGGTAGCCACTCTGGGTGGTCAGCTGGCTACTCTGGGTGACATTCTCTCCCCTGTCCTCCCATCCTGGCCTCAGGTTGACCCCACGAAAGGAGCCCAAGACCCCCCTCCTCTCCACCTGATCCCTGTGCTCCACTGTGGAGGAGATGTGGTCCTCCTGGGTAGGGGGATCTCTCCATCATCCTCCCCTCTGTGGGCCCCTTTTATCTGGAGGGTGAGGAGGCAGTGGTAGTAATGGCAGGGCACACTTGCCCGGGTGTGCTTGTGCCTGTGTGTGTACCTGCATGCATGGAGGGGTGCATGTGTGTGCATGTGCAACAATCAGTAGAGTGCAGCACCCATTAGAGAGAAGGGTGGTGGATATGGCCATAAAGGGTGCTGGTGGTCCCTGGGACTGGCTGCATTGCACAGAGAGAGCAGAGGCTACTGGGCCCCAACACTTACCTCGAGTGTTGTCCTTCCAACTGCCATCACCCAGGAGGTGCAAGGCTGGATGGTGGAGCCCTGGGTAGCTCCTCAGCTACCCCTGCAATTCATCCCTGGAGGACCTATCTCAAACCCCACCCACCCCACACTTGTACCAGGGGTGTACTTACCTGTGCTGCTGGAGTCCTGTTGGTTGCTGAGCTGCACTAGCTGCTTCATCGAGTCCTTAGACACCTTTAGGTACTGATCACTGTTGCAGGCCTGAAGGGGGCCAGAACCCGTGCTGAGGTCTGGGCAGGTCTTCCTCCCTGTATCCCCCACCCCAATCCCGTGCTCACTCCTGTCAGCTGTGGGTCTGCCAAGTGAGATAGAGACAAATAATAGCCCCTTTATCCTTCCAACTCACTGTCTTCTGGGGCTCAGGCCACACCAGCTCCTGAGATTCCTCCCTGACTATACTGACTTCTCTTGGGCTGTGGGCAGCCTCTTCTGTTTCCTGAGGCCCTAGGGACTCTGCCCAGCTCCCCTCCAGATCCACAGCCTCTAGGGCAGGCCCCTCTGGCTTGCTCAGTTCAGATGTGGGATGAAGGGTCAGTGTGGGCAGTTTTGCAGCTGCTCCGGCTCCTCTAGCTTGTCCATCTCAGTATCCTGATGACACCAGGAACTTGTCACTGCCTCAGGGGCCAGTGTGACCCTGAAGCCCAGGAAGGGTCAGGAGTAAAACCACTTTGGCTCCTTGTAGGGACCTTGTCCAGGGCATACAAGGGGCTCCAAGGCCATCTGGGTGGTTTGTGAATGTGACCATGCAATGAGGGTGTTGCCCTGTTGACCTGACCACTACCCTAGGGGTTGCACAGGAAGGCAAGGACCTAGCCCCAGGTGTCTTGATCCTGAAGGGACTTCACAAGGTCCTCCCAGTAGTTACTGCCTGGACAAGTTGATGAGAGAATTCCCAGAGCATATCCAGGTGGGTGTCCTGGGCAAGCACACAGGTAATGGAGGTGTGCACTTCCGATGTCAAAGCCACCAGGAGGAGGTGGGGTCCTCAGGCCATGGAACAGGGGACACAAAGAGAAAGCAGCTGAGAGCTGTGGTCTCTTGTGATCATGCTGGGCCCTCCCACCCAGGGGTTCTGGGTGAGCCAGACGGGTGACCTGGAATGACACAGTTGGAGCCCCAGTGTGTGCCATGTCGGGCGGCACCTGCTCCACCCACACATCCTTTTCCCACAGGCCTTTCGACACTGTGTGGTTGCATTACCAGTGGCTTCACTGCCAGGTGCCTGGGGCTGGGGGTGGTGGGCAGGTGGGGTTTCTCTGGGGAGAAAGGACCTATGTTCTCTGTTGCAGCTCTTGTATTTCCCACCAGGAAGCCCCCTGACCCAGGGTGGCAGCTCCTCATGTTCGTGACTGCCTTACTCAGCCCAGTCTCTGGGCCTGTTTGGGGGCTTCTTGGGGCAGGTGTATGGGCAGAAATCCGAACATCTGCCTGAGACCACTGGCAGGTCCAGCTGGGGAAGGACTGAGAACTGGTGGGCACTTGAGCCTTGGCCATTGCCCAAGGGTGCCTGCCACATAGTTCTACACTCTGAATGGACAGCAGGTGGGGGGGCCAGTTTAGCACAGGAGGGGGCAGAAGGGTCACACATCCTTTGCGTGGGGTCTACCAGCCCTCCCAAGACTTGGGGGCCAGTGTATAGCTTGGGCGGGACTGCTGGCTCATGCTGAGTCACCACCACTCAAACGCCTGGTGCTGTCCGCAAGGACCTGGCCCCACCTTCGGGAACCACGGGTGCTGGTTTTCCCACGGTCTGCTGCCCGCTCAAGGGCCTTGCTGTCACCCCAGTGGGGCCCCAGGAGCCCTGCCCCCGCCTGGGCTGGAAAAGCCGGTTCTACACTATTCACGGTACCCACCCTCTGCCTTGGGGTTCCCATCCACAGGAGGGCCAGCCACAGAGGGCCTCCCTGTCCATTGCCTGTCCACTCTGGAGTCCAGCAACACACAGCTGGCTACCTGATCACTTGCTCTGGGCAGGAGGCAGCGGAGGAGAGGAGTTGTCTATAGGTCCTCCCCTCCTGGATGGGGCTCATGGCCAAGGGCATGCTAGGCCACTACCATAGTGACTACCTGAAGCTTTCAGCCTGCCACTGAATAGCCCCTCCCCTGGCACTTGGGGGCAGGGGCCTCTGCTCTCCCATTTTGCAGAAAGGGGGCTTTGGAGGACTTGCTCAGACACATGGCCCTTGGCCAGGGCCCTACACCAGGTCCTCAAGCTGCCAGCTCCACCACTGTGGGAGGAGCAGACCTCAGCTTTGGGATGTCACTGGATCTAGGTAGACTAGTGGGGATCTGTGGGGGACCCTGAATAGAGGCCAAGACCTGAGCCCAGAGTAACATAGCTGGGTGCCTGGCCAGCAGTCCAGCCTGGTTTGTGCACACATACCCTCCCCCACTCTGGGAGCCTGAGGGCAGAGCTGGCCCCCAGAGCCTGACTGGAGGAAGAAGCACCCTGAGGGTGTGGGAGGGCCAAGGTGAGTGGGGCAGGAGGGGCTGGGAAGAGTCCCAGCTGCCTGGTCCCAGGGGTCTGTCTGTGTGCCTGGTTCCCACGACTACAAGGTACCAGCACCAGCCCTGACTCAGGGCACTTCCGCCTGAAACTGCTGAAGCTCCCTCCTTGGACTAGCCCCCAGCCAGGGGCTGTCCTGGGACTGGTAGACCACAGCCAGGCAGAGTTTGATACCACAGGCTGTCCTCTGTAGCCCCTTTCTCCCTCTAGACCTGAACAGGAGAGAAGGAAAGAGCTGATCTGTCAGCCAAAGAAGATGCCCCTCTTCCACTCTTCATGGAGCCACAGCCCCTCCTCTGGGCCTGCAGGGTGTCCAAAGAGCGGCCAAAGCAGACGGGGCCACCTTTGGGGCCCCACCCGGACACCAAGAATGTCTGTCCAGGCTCCCACTTGGGAGCCACATGCACTGGCCAGGTCTGTGTCTGTCTGTTTGGCCTATGTACCCCAAACAGTGGATAGCTGGTGCACAGGTGTGATGAGTGGGGACAGGGCTCTTAGGAGCAGCCCAGCTAGGTCAGTGGGCAGAGCTAGGAAAGAAGCTTTGGTGTGCCCTTGCGTGTTCTCTTCCCCAGACTCACTGGCCCCTCCCCAGGGCAGCAGAGTCCAAACTGGCTCAGGCTACTAGCTTCTCTCATGGACACCCTGTAGCCCCAAACAACTCCCCACCAAGTGGGGGGCTGAAGGAGAGGGTGGGCCTGGATCCCTCTGAAGACTGGATCTTGTGAAGGACCCTGTGCCCTGGGGAGCCCACTGCTAATGAGAAACTGGCTCAGGTATCTCTGGGGGCTGGGCAGAGGTGACTGGAACATGCCTCCCACAGGCTGGCCGCCCTGGGAATTCCCACGGCCAGTACTCCCTGCCCAGCAGGTACCTGGCACAGCTAAAAGGTCCAGGCCCCACCTCCTAGCTGAGGACAAGCTCAGGTCACTGGGGTGGCCAGGCCTGAGGGATTTCTGCCCCCATGCCCACGCATTGACTCCATCAAGAGGGGTAAGGCAAGGGTGACCAGAGACCCAAGGGGCCTCTTTGGGGCCTGCTTCTTCTGAGCAAGGGGTAGTTTGTGGAAACCTCAGCTGGTCCATTGCCAATACCTCCGCTGCCTCCTTGCTGGTAAGGACTCTGGGGCCCTAAGCAGGGCCTGGCCTCCCAGCAACTACCTCTGGCTGGACCCAGGCCCCGAGGGGTCAGCCTGAGGTGGAGGTCCTGGACCTGGGTGGGACAGCTGCTGAGTGACCCCAGTCTAAGAATTCCCACACCCCCAGGCAGATCCAGGCAGGGGACTTGTCTCAGAGGTCTGGACACCCCCTCCCACAGGGAGATGGGAGGCTGCTTGCAACTAGGACTCTAGGAACACGCTCAGGAATAATAAGCCATTTCTGTTCATTTCCTGCAAACTGGTAAATAGCACAGCATAAACGAGCACAAAGGAAGTGAACATCACCACCTACCCACTGCTTGGCAGGAAAAGCAAACTAGCACATGGAAGAGTACTCAGTACCTCACACACCTGGTCACACCTACACACCTGGACATAGCTGCCTCTAGCATGGGAGGCTGCTCAGATGCTCTGGTAAGGGGGTGAGTCCCTGCGTGGGGGGCTGACTCCAGGATACTCACTGGGCATTTGGTCCCTGACAAGCCCCCTGGTGGGTCTTGACCCCAGCCTGGCTTGCCCCCCAGGAGCTTCCCTGGCAAATGGTTCCAGGCCTGAGGTGTTGTCCTCACACCTTGCTAGACAGGATGGGAAGGTGAGTGCTGGCCTAGGAGGAAGCAATTAGGCACCAGCCTGCTGTGGCTGGGTCTGTCCCATGCTGTCCCACAGCGTCTTGTGGGGCCATGAGACTCCTCTAAGAGCAGTAAACAGCTGGTGTGCCACCTTTGACACTTTGGCCCACTCCAAGGGATCCACTAGCCTGACACTAGGTGCTGTTCCCCAAAAACGTGGCTCTCATTTTCTACTGGTGACAGGGTTAGGGGTGGGCAGAAGAGTCAGGGCCACGGGCCCCGGGAAATGTGGGAAGGCTTGCTGGCATGGGAAGTTTTCAAAATCCAGCAAGTGCTTTCCTGTCCATGTGAGGCAAGCTGTGCCCCACTGTCCTTCCTGGTGGGCGCAACCCCCAACACTGCGAGTGAGTCTGGACCCTGTGGCCAAGGATGGCAGCCCTGGCAGGGCTCTGCCCTGTGGCCCCTGCCCCGCCCCCTGGCCCAGGAAGGGCAGTTCCCACGGCCTGGCCCCTCCCCCACCTCTCTACTGCTGGGTCCTTTTGTGCAGGCAGGACAATGTCTCCACAGACAAGTGGGGGATGGGCCTGGGGGGGCACTAGCCTCCCTGGTGAGGGTCCCCTGCACCCTGGTGCTCCCAGAAAGACAGGGTCCTGGGCCGCAGGGCTGGAGAGGAGGAGGCCATGTGGTCTGAGCCCCAAGTGGTTCAGGATGAGGGGGCCAGAGATGTCCCAGTCTCAGAAGTACCCAGGGACAGGAGGCTATTTTTTTTTTTTTTTTTCCCCTGTACTGGGGATGGAATCCAGGGCTTCCAGTACATGCAAGAGGTCAGCACCCAGAGCCTGCTCCCTATGTCTGCCTAGGGGAGGAAGAGAGACTGACCTCTGGCAGGAGTCCTCACTAGTCCCTGCTCTCCTGTCCCTACTCAAGAGTATGGAGGCCACTCAGGCCAGGGTTGGGTGGGGGCTGCCTC